ATATATATATATATATATATATATATATATATAGATAGATAGATAGATAGATAGATAGATAGATAGATAGATAGATAGATAGATAGATACAAATGACGCTTCAAGAGAATTTATTGATGTAATCGTATAACTACACAGCCACCAATATGTGTTATTTCTTCTTTTGGTGCTATCGTCACATAGCGAGAGTTTTGCCAAGATTCATATTGAGGACTTACTGTACTTTTTTCAACTGGCAAATTTGAATATCAAATTGGATAAAAACTAAGCTAGTCATTTTAGTTGATTTACTTCCGTGATTTAAACTACTGTTTGAGCCGATTTATTATGATCTAATCTTTACTGTACATAGATTGAATGATTCGAAGCCCGCTATATGAATTCAAATTTGCATAAACCCACAATATAAGGAAAGGCGACAAGTGCGTATACAACACTACATTCATACAAAGTTCTTGTGTGATGTTTTAATAGTTTCAAATTTACATGTGTGGAAAACAAAACCTATTAAACATTACAATTATATTACTTCTGAAATGTTCCTATGTTTTTGAAAGAAACAAACGGTTGCTTATTTGGCAAAAATGGAAAGGTAATCATCCATTTTGTTGTTTGCATTCTCTTAGTATCAGAATTACCTTACGTTAAATAATCGTAATCAAAAATACTGTTATCAATACTGTTGAATGCAGGGAAGGTTCGAACTTACCGTACTTGGTATTAGTGACTTGACTAAGTACTTTGCTAGAAAAAATCAATATTTGAATAAAGTGCTCCAATTTAATTGAATAAACTCTTTAATAACTCCCGTGACTATTCGAAATTTTGATATTAGCATTAACTTAGCTACCACCATGCACATTTCATTTACGCCGATGGAATTCCATGAGAAAGTTATTTACTTCTTGAAAAAATAAAGTTGAGGAACTTACTTCAAAATTTTCAAAATTAGCGGAGTTAATGTGAATGGCAGCAGACTTCTGTACGCAATAGAATTAACCGATGCAACGCAAACGGCTATCCCTGCTGTCATTCTTACTTTGCTTATTTTTTTGGAGGTTACTTTTCATCGCTTCTTAGACTTTTAAATTAATTCAGTTTTTCCATACAATACTTCATACGCAGGAAAGGATAATAAAACATATGTTGCAAATTTTATTGATATTCTTAATTGGTTATAATTACTGCTACCAATGAGATTATCAAGTACAATGCTTGTTCACCTAACTGTCCTTTCATTCTTCTTACTCTTTACAAAGCTCAGATTTAAGTTTACAAGTTTTTATGCAAAACACTAATGAATTTCCTATTTCAGATAGCATTAGCAATGTTCACAATGGCATATGTAAAAAGTGTTATGAACAAATCAAGTGAACACATGCAATCATTAGACGAAAAATCGCCTCATGCAGAAAACGTACAGGAAGTATATTTGAATATACTTGTAAATTGATCCTTAAATGAAATCATAGGTCAATGAGGAAGGATTCGATGGTAATAATTAATGTAGTTCGAACAAACATTGATGGAAATTTGATTAGATTTTGGTGTAGTCAAGTTATTCAATAAATTCCTATTATTGAATTTATAGGATAACTTGGAGTCAAATGCATAAATATAGTTATTTTGCAAATAGGAAAGACAGACAGAATTTGAGTATAATATGAACTTTGACCCATTCTTTTCTCCCTCAAAATATCATTGCACATATATATAATCCAATTATCTATGCTGGAATTCCTAACTAGTTCATAATAATACTCACTCCATTATTATACCTTCATTTAAATTTTGGAACACTTCTGTAGGTAGACCAAACAGCCCCGGATACGGTAAAAAGAGAAACTGAAGAATTCAATGAGGGAATCAAGAGGACCGGTGAAGCATTAATGAATAATCAAATGTTATTTAAAGTTGGTTCTTGAAATCGATTTTGCACTTTATATACTTGAAGCATTTTACTGCAAAAGTCAGGAAGACTCGGGAAAGTATTTTGATTTTAAAATTAAGACATAACGTAAGTGTTTTTGGAGTTTATTTTAAAAAAAAAAGCACTGGATTGCTCTCGAAAGGAAAAATGGGCCTAGCTCTAAAGCCAGCGTAGAGGAAAAATTAAAAAAGACCTTCACACCGAATTCTCTACGCAGTTGTTGATGGATGAAGAAATCAATCGCGAAACGATGAGGATGATTTATGGTACGACAAGCTGAAAATCGAGGATCGAAGTTGGCAGTGACATAACTGAAACAACGATGTTATGGCTTTGTTGAAAGCTTATCATATATTGTCATATTTTTTGCTTCTGTTCTTTCCACAAAGAAATAAATACAATGATAGGTTGCAGCCTTTACTTTATAACTTATGGCGGGTATGGAAAGAGTCGGAAGAGTTGAGGAGTAAATCAGTGAATAAATTCACCTAAATTCCCCATCGCATCATTCTCTATTCCCTCAATCAACGATCAAGTGATTTTAATAGAGTACTCCAGTGGGATCATTTATTTTCATACTGGGCAGTGTTTCATCGTTACTTCCCCGGTTCACTATGTCTATAATCGTGGGCGCCAGTAGCTTGTACCAATGGTTGTCGTGACTGGTGTTGGTGATCGGGACGGCACATCTTCAGGTCGAGATGACTCTGCTGATGTATTACTTGCACTTCAGAAATATCAGGTACACTTATAGTAGTAACTTTTACATTACGTTTTTAACTACTGGTAACTTTGAAACAGCAGAAAATTTATGTGGATTATTCTCAATAGTATTGATTGTCATTTGATGAATAAAGGGTTTCTTAATACTCGGAAATTTTATGAGAAATGATCCAGTTCCGAATCACTTCACTTTAAATATGTATGTATGTGTTTTCTATAATTTTTAATCAGCCACATATAATTCTTAATTGAGTGAGACGTTTGCAGACAAGACGTAAGCAAATTGAAGAGGAGGAAGCACAGAGACGTCGCGAAGGTCTTTTGTCAGATGAAGACGATACAAGCATAGATGATGTCTTCATCCCTGCTAGACTACGGAAGAAAGAAAAAGTAATTTTGGTTTATGATTGCTTACTTTTAAATAAGTTTCATTCAAGATTCTTCTATTCTCTCCAGCTCTGCTGTTATCCTCAAATCAAAGCTTCAACTATACTCTACTTTTTACTTTGAAGTGCAGAATATTAGATTTCTTGCTCTAAGGAAATTTGTGATTGACACAGTTTTGCTGGTTAATCGTTAGCAGACATGAAGGAACGAGATTGTGCTCGTTTTTTTCTCTATTACACAGTTTATTTTTGACTATTTGCACATCAGTGATAACTTTAAGATGCATCGAAGAGCTGTTTTGAAACAAGTATTGCATGCAAAAGGTGGTGCTCCAGATGTTGATGCAGAAAAGGAAGATTTGGAGTTTTTGGAGCGAAAACGACGCAAAAAAGAGGAGGAAAGGAAGGCAGAAGAAGCAAAAAAGTCACTCCTGGAAAAACATAATGAGCTCTTGGAAGCAGAGATTGGTGAGTGTTCGAAGCTGTTCTAATATTTTAACGGTAATTCATATTTTAAATTCTTTTTCAGGAGACAGAAATTCAGAAAAAAGGAAACGAGAAGAAGAGCAAAAACTGCTGGAAAGTGTCGCGCCTGGAACAGGTAATAATGATCTGTTGTACATATTATATATATACACATATATATATATATACATATATATATACGTGTTTGTGCGTATCAAGAAAGGGAGGGGATTTATAATTGTCTGCATTCTTTGGTGTGAAATGTTTCAAAATTTGTCAATTTTCAGCTCTCATGGCTGTTGCCGAAATTGCCAGAGGCGTCAGATACGAGGAATCGATTAAAACGAGGTTACTTAATGGACAGTTATTATGCTGCTTGTTTAGCTAAATTTCTCTCCATTGACTCTTTAGGAGAAGAAAATGAAACATGGTACTGTTTTCGAAAAAAAATTTTTTTAAAAAATTTCAGTTGGCATCCGCCCCGTCATATATTGGCAGTGAGTGACGAGGAGCATGCAGCAGTACGCCGGAAGAAAGGAATTTTGGTAGACGGTGACAGTGTACCTCCACCAATTGGTAGTTTCATCGTTAGTTTTTTTTTTATTCTTCTGTTGAATAAAGTAATATAACTTGATCATGAATCAAGGAAAGAAATCTCCGTTACCTATATACAGTTATGAATTGTACGTTCACAACGTTGGGTAATCATGACTCAACCAATTATTTTCAATCAGTAAAAAATGTTGAGGACTCAACAATCAGCAGGTATAATTGATGAGGGAAATGTTTAGGTGGTGAAAATTTCTTCTCAAATGCATTTTGGATTTTCAGGAAATGAAATTTCCTCCTCCAGTAATCAAAGCTTTACGCGATAAAAAGATCATCTGTCCAACTGTTATCCAGATGCAAGGAATACCAGTTGCGTATGTTTCCTTACATTTCCATAATTCATCTTGTATTGTCATTCCTTGGATGACAGTAAAGTTCTCCAAAATTTTCAGACTTTCAGGACGCGACATGATAGGTATAGCTTCAACTGGTTCTGGCAAAACGTTGACATTTGCATTACCATTGGTTATGTTTTGCTTAGAGCAGGAAGTGTCTCTACCATTCCGACATGGCGAAGGACCATATGGTTTAATTATTGTACCTTCGGTAATTTTTAACAATTTATGCTAATATGTTTTGATTAATTGGAATACACAAAAGAGTTGAAATAAATGGAGGTGCAGATTTTCGCTGATTTACTCAATCTTTTTAGCGTGAATTAGCGAAGCAGATTCATGATGTCATCGAAAAATTGTTTGAGAATATTTGCGACGGCACGAAGTTTCCAAGACTTCGAGTTGGTCTATGCATTGGTGGATTACCAATTAGTGAGCAGGCGAGGGTTTTTGAAAGGTACCCTTTATAAGTATATGTGTTTAATTTCTTATGCTTTTCAATGAATCAGTGAAATAATTTGAAAAATAAACTGTGGGAAGTTTTTTGTTTGTTGCAAAATGAATTTGCAGAGGTGTTCATGTGTGTGTTGCAACGCCTGGTCGTTTGTCAGATTTATTAAGCAAAAAAATTTTCAATTTGCAAGTCTGCCGATATTTGGTACTGGATGAAGCAGACAGAATGCTCGATATGGGTTTCGAGGAGGAAATAAGGACTATATTTTCATTTTTCAAGGTGTTTTTGAATTTTATGCTGTAATATGGAATCTTTTAAGCCAAGTAAACTTTACATTATCCTCGTATTAACAGTTTCTTTTCTGTAGTTTGCTGAATTCGTTAGTCGCATTTCATTTTAAGTTGCTCGTCCCACAAGTTAGTATCATTCTTATTTAGGGTTAACGGCAAATATTATTCTTATTTAGGGTCAACGGCAGACTCTGCTTTTCTCAGCAACAATGCCTCGTAAAATACAGAACTTTGCTCGATCGGCTCTAGTTCGTGCTGTAATTGTAAATGTCGGACGTGCTGGTGCTGCATCATTGAACGTTGTTCAGGAAATTGAATATGTTCGAGCTGATGAGAAGCTTACTAGGATACTGGATTGTTTGCAGAAAACAGCTCCAAGGTAATTATTATTTTAGTGTTTTGTTTTTGTAGTTACTATGTGCATACTAGATAAGTTGATTATTTGACATAATTACGAAGCCGAAAGCTAGAACTGTGAGAAACAGAATCTTGATTATTATTTGTTTTTATTTTTCATGTTAGCTTGCCGGCAGTAATTTTTTATGTAATTTTATAAATATTTCTGTATAAGCTTTATAGGTGATAGATTTCATCTTCCGATTAACCGTCAGAGCTTCATTCCCACTTTTCCTTTAAATACAGTTTTAGATGAAATACGGATTATTGATTTCAAGTCACGAAATTAAAGAGTCGATTGGAATTTCTTAAAGTAGAAAATTAGGGAAAAATTGTGCAACCTGCTTTCGTGTTTGAACAATCGTTTTTTAATATAGAAAATGAGCTACAGCTGTGAGAAACCGAATCTTGATTATTGTTTGCTTTTTCTTATCATGTTCGCTTCCTAGTACTAATTGTTTCAAGACGTGCGTCCATTGCATTTTTATTCTATATTTGTTCCGCTTTTTCAGAGTTTTAATATTTGCGGAAAAGAAGAATGATGTGGATAATATTTATGAATATTTATTAGTGAAAGGAGTTGATGTGGCTTCGTTACATGGTGGAAAAGGTAGATTTCTGATTATTCGGTTAATCATTGATCAGTTTTTGCTTTAAAAATGAAGTGACAAACTTTATTCTGAATTTCCTTTAAAAATCCGAACGACGTTCATATTTTGAGTTGAGATCTGGTTGGAATTTTAGACCAAAAAGATCGTCATACCGGAGTCGATGCATTCAGGCGAGGTGAAAAAGATGTTCTGGTAGCAACCGATGTTGCTTCGAAGGGTTTGGATTTCGAAAATATCCAGCATGTGATCAATTTTGATATGCCTGAAGATATTGAAAATTACGGTATTATATTTCTTCCACAGAAACTGTGACATTTTTTATCAAATAGTTTCATTACTCCATTTCTTATTTCCTTTCTTGAAAAATTTGTTTTGCAGTTTACTCATATATTTTCTCTCTATTTTAGTCCATCGCATTGGACGTACAGGACGTTCTGGTCGGAAGGGAATGGCAACAACCTTCATTAATAGAAGAGCGGGTTGGTTTAGATTTTTGAAAAAAAATTTCACGAAGTAGGAAAATATAGTTGATTTTCAAGTTAATTCACGCATACTGCTAATTTATAGCTCCTTATACATGATATTTTGTAGATATGTCTGTGCTCCAAGATTTAAGAGCCTTGCTGCTCGAAGCTGGTCAAGAATTGCCCTTATTTCTTCGAGATATGGGTGGTCAGGAATTGGAGCAACCAAATGATTCTACAAATGCTGACGATAAAGGCTGTGCATATTGTTCCGGGCTGGGTCATCGTATCACAAATTGTCCGAAATTGGAAAATGTTCAAACGAAGGTTGGTTGTGTTGGGTTTTGATTCTGTGACTGTTTCTGTCAAAATTGTTGCATCAAAGATGACATTAACTGACAAGAAACATACATTAGCTGAAGGCTCAGCACTCCTTTGCAAAAGAAAGTATTAACGTTATGATGTCGTGATCGTTCTTCCATATCTTGATAGTATGTTTCATACCTGTTGAATCCGTATTTTTAAACTTCTTGAGGGATCAACAGAGAAAGGAAGGGAGGAGTCATTAGAGGCAGAATTTTTTTAGAATTGAAATTTCACGTTCCCTTTTTGGTCATTATCAGTTCTGTTCGAATTAATATCTTTTTTTCTGACTTATTGCAGTTCTCAAAAATTAAGCTTTTTTTAGACAGCAGCATATCTTTCTCGTCCAGATTACGGAGGCGAAGAGATTTGATGGACTTAAATCAATATATCTTCCTGATCATTTCCTGTTTTGGAATACCGAATGTAAGGAATAAATAATTTCCAGTAAAACATATTTTTCTTCATGGAGACAAAAGTCAACTGGTGATTACAGCACGAATTAAGCCAAAGCACATGTAAATGGGCAAGCTGGGGCAGAATTTTTTTATTCATGGTGTATTTCAGCTTTTCAAACTTGTGCTGAAAGATCCTTTCTTGTTGAACATTTTTTCGAAACTGTGTTCGTTTTGCCAAACGAAAAATTCTGGCGTTGATGGCAAGTAAAGAAATTTGATAATCAGATTTCAAAATACAAACTGGTGTCATTGGAATTGCTTTGGGCACTTCTATTCACAGTATTTTCAAACTCTATTTTACGTTTTTGTGGGGTAGATGCTTCGTTCATTTCACTGTTCCGACACTTACTAGCATATAAATTCCATAACTATATTCTAAGCACGGATCACAGTTCCATTTGGCGGTTTGGGAATTTTTTACCTCCTTAGTGGATTAATCCATTAGGATGGAGGACATCCTAAAAATAAGTAGTCATTCTTAGGAAATAGATTTTGTTATACCTTTTATCCACAATCATCAAGCTTTTTTTGCATTTAAAAAACAGATGTTTTTAATCTTAATTGGTAGCAGTCTTTTAGTTATTTTTCAAAAAATAATATAAGCAAGTAATTCACATTTTTGTCACTCAAGGTCATGATTTATTTCAATTACGGAGTCGAATATTAATCTGACAAGAGTAATATATAGAGTGAATCGTAATGGCTGCATAAATTCCTATTAACACAGCCATTTTTCAGAAATCTGTTAGGTACTCTTTTTCATGTATTGTTCGGACATCACAATCAGTGAAAGTTTCTTATTGTTTTTTTTCCCAGAAGATTTCCAATTCCCTTCCTGCAGACTAAATTTTATATATAATAAAGGAGCGTTGCATCACCTCGAAAAATACTGCAGTAACCTTTGCAATCTTTACTGAAAATGCAATGTATTGAAGCACTAATTTTTGACTTACTGTTTGTAATAAGTGGAACGAAAAAAATGTTAGATATTTCCTAATCATGACTAATTAAATATTTCGCTCACTTAACAAATATAATTTCTTCAGGTGCAGCTTTGGGAAAAATCTGAATAAATTTATCATTTTGATCACAATCACTCCCAAAAATCCTTTAATTTCTTAAGAAGTATGAAATTCTTTGTTGAACAAAAATCTTCCCTCGCGTAAAATTGTTCATCATTCAATAGATGTTTCGAGAAATGATGTGACAATTTACGGATTAGTTTACAACAAATTAAACCTGCAATATTTCTTGTTTAACTTCCTATAAATCAGTGAGGAATCAAGAAGGTATATTTTTAAAGAAACCTATGGGTTCTGTAAAATTCAGTTTCGATAGTATGTTGCAATATTTCTCATCATTTAGATGCAAAATTCTAAAAACAAAGTTGGGAAATCTAGATGAGAAAAACACAGCGGGATTTCGGAACCAAAAAGTAAAACGGTTCTCGAGTTCAGATGACGGCAAATTTAAAAATGGATGATGTGTTTGACAAATGGACGAACCATTCAGCATCTAGTTGATGACTATTATTTGTAGTGTTGTGCTTGTAGTGTTGTATTTGTAGTAATGACTATTATTTGTAGTGTTGTGCAAATCCATGACACAATTATTCCTCAGAGTTAGTCCGATCAAGCTTTCTGAAAATTTGCAATCTAACGAGTTTCATTTCTAAAATATTTACTCGTTGTATTTCTTACCGTAAAACATATAAGGTGCTATTTTAAATTCTCTAAAATCAGTGTGTCGTTAACAGTTCATTGAATTGTATTATCTGACCGTCGCTGTTAATTGAATAATAATCCTACTAATTAATAAGCAGTGCATAGCTAACTATACTTTCCTATCAAAGGATCTGTGAGATGTGATCTCATTATAAAGCTTTCAAACGATTGATTGTCTTACTTCAACATTTTATTCCTCATATAGGGCTATTCTTATTAGATGAAAGAAAATAATATTTCATCCCATACATTTTTATTTATGCCTTCATAAATTATTTGTTCGTACCCAATGCCGAAAATTATTTAGGAAGAAAATATGGAACAATAAATGAAAGAAGAAAATACTAATAAGCAATTTTCTTATTGACAAAAATATAGCTCAAATTTCATAGATCTTAAAAATTACTTGATCTGAATAAAATATAGCTCAAATTTCATAGATCTTAAAAATTACTTGATCTGAATAAAATATAGCTCAAATTTCATAGATCTTAAAGATTACTTGATCTGAATAAAATATAGCTCAAATTTCATAGATCTCAAAGATTACTTGAATTGATCTGAGTCGTAATTTTGTCAAATTCATAGCACGCTAAAATCTTTTCGAATTGTTGAATGGATGACATTTTGCCGTGTTTATAACTCAATAGATGCTCGTAATGCTTGATACAAAATCATTTCAGATTTTGTATACACTTTGAACAAAGTTAATAGCTAGGGATGGTTTTTTCGGATTTCTTTCTATGTCCGATTAATTGCTAAGTTACAGAGGACGTGTAATGTGTTTTAAAATGTAAGTTCATATTTTTAACTTTCATTTGTTGATAAGCAAAATCAGAAGTCTAAGTGATATAAGCAATCGTTGAAATGATAGTAACATTGGAGAGTATTATCCATAATCGAATTACTTCGAATCGTTTTAATTTTATATTAAATTGTTTATTTTTTCCTTCACTATTCATCATTTATTTGTTTATTTATGCATTTATTCATTTGCAAATGCATAATGCCTTTCATGTATTAATTCCAAATTTCAAAGTTTCTATAAATTTGAACAATTCAACATTTCAATATTTTGTAGCGTCTTTATAAAGACTAAAAATTTGGAGTCTTTTTTATGCTAAAATTTAAAGGTTCCTTTCGCGAAGAAGATCATTAAAACAAGTTTTATAATCGTGATACATCGGAATAATAGATGACATGGCATCTCGAAATGTTGAAGGTGTACAGTAAAGGGAAGATATTTGGTCTAATAGACTAATTGGGTGACCTTATTTTCCACTATCATCCAGAATTTAAGCATTTGATTCTTGGTTTAGGTCAAATGGAATATAAAATATCGATTGACTTGGAGGTTTATTCGTTATTACTATTTCTATCATGTGATGAATAAATTGTAAATCCCTACAGATAGGAATAGATTTCACAAATGATTACATCTATTTCAATTTTTCAATCTTTTTAGGGATGTAATCTCTCTTCTCATTTTATTCACTTTTCAAATGATACTTGCCAAAATGGATCATAAATGGGAGTGAAATATCGAACCATAGGATGAACAGTAAGCTAAATCTTTTTCATAGCATTTATAACACTATTATACATAAAGTTTATTAATTCTGGAACAAATTATACTGAAATAGAATTTAAAAAATTGAAATTTGGGAGAAAATTTAAGTGACAAAATTTAAAGTAAATATAATGGAATAGGTTGGATGTATGCATGATCTTCTTGATTGATCTGGAGATTAATGAATATATTAAATATTGAATGCTCTTGAGTAATTTCTAATTTCAAGAAAAATTTACACAGAAATTTTCTTTAGCTCCGACATTTTCGACATCAACATTATCAGCACAAGAAGAAGAGTCATATAAGGAATACATTTAATACTGCTTTATTGGTACAATATTCAAGGAATAAGCAAATGCTTCTGGCAAGGCTTTATTTTGGCCTTGGCCATAGCTAAAGGATTATAGACACAGTTGGCTAATGGCTCTACTGGAACATGGGAGCAAAAATGTGAAAGGAGGAAGTATGCAATGTGAGTTTCTGATGCATGAAAAAATTGCATAAATTTGTATGGAGCGCTTTTGGTTAATCTATTTGAAATATAATTGAAGGATTAAGTACTGAATTTAATTTGCGCCAAACCAACTAAATTCAATAATATTGCATGGAAATTCGAAAGTTATTTTTGACCATTAACATTTGACTATGTGCAGCATTGGTTAGAACCATAATTCGACGATTTTCACTTTCTTTTCTGTTCGGAATCAAAGCAAATGAAAGTTTACATAAGTAGCGGTGCATTTGTACGATAGGTTAAGCAATAATTAATCAACTTAATTTTAAATTTGTTTATCAAAACTTTCATTTTTTAATTACTCATTCATACATTTTATTTTCTGTTTATTCATTATTTCTTCACAGATTTTATATAATAATTCTGCTCTGAATCATAATCTTACTGAAAAATTGGCACAAATTTTCAACTTCCATTCTTCTTATAAGGTAAAAAAATCATCAAAAGTTCTTATTTTTCATGTAAATTTCGATGATTTCAATAACAATTAAAAAATATTCCGAGAAAGTAATAAAACACAGTCATTAGGCTTGCAAAAAGATTAGAATTTAAATGGAAAGAAGATTTTGTCCTGATGATTTAAGCATTAGAGCATTAGAGGACTCAGTTATATCCAGTTGTCACTTGAAACATGACAGTAATTTTGAATAGGCGTAATTTTCAGTTATCCTTATTTAAACAGACTTGGCATACGACAATCACTGATTAAATAAAGTAAAAAATAGAACTTTCGCGAAGCTATCGTATTGGTTTAAGATATCGTCTTGGTTGCGATATTCCGGAATTGAACATGTCTCTTTCCTATAGTTCTACCACTTTAGAAGAACGAAATTAAGAAGATGAAATTATTCTCCCCTCACTTTTAGTGTTCCAAAATGCTATCCTTCTTTTGGATCCGTACTTTTTACTGCTCATCCTTTCTCAACCTTGGAGCAATGCTCAATTATAAATCTTTAAAATTTGTTCGAGCATGAATATGAGTTATTGAATTAACGAAGCATAAAGATGATATCTGCGACATTTCGGGAAAAGGTGCAACTCATTTTTGCTTTCAAATTTTGTTCCAAATATAACTTCTCTGTTTATTATATGCTGTACATATTGCATGGTTGTACGTTTTTAAATAATTGATTTATTAAAATTTCACATGAAATAAAGTCATCGAATTGTTCATTTCTTATTTCTAATATTCTGGAATAATTTTGAATTTCAAAATAAAAGTTGTTTGAAATGCAATAATTAAATTGTTGTTCAAATGCAGCTTTCAATTCA